CTGTAATTGTATTTATTCATTCATGTATTTTAATTTGACTAGAGAGACACACATACACACAGAGAAAGAGAGAGAGGGAAAGTGAGAAAGCAAGCCACCAGGTCCAGGACTCAAACTGGTTGGCCATGTGGTTGACCAGCGCCTTAACCACCATGCCACCTGCTGTCCCCCCCCCATCATTATCTTTAAAACATGTGTAAAATGTAAAACTGATATGTTTTAGCTCTTTATAAATTGAATTATTAAGATGGGACCAGTAGTTAGCATAATGGCTGTGTGACTGAACTCCCATGTGGTTGACTGTGGTTTGAGCTCCAGACCCGGTGGCTTAAATTCATGCTGGGTGTGTGTGTACATGCCCAAGTTCCCGGAGAATGGAGGAGAGGGGATTGCGGCATGGTAAAGTGATTTCTCACTTTCTGTCTCTCTGTCTCTCTCTGTTTCTCTGGAGAGCACACTTGCCCTGTAGCAAAAACCTCTACATACAAAAAAATAAATAAAAATTGGATTATTAAGAAAGAATTAAGGGACCAGCAGATGGCGTAATGGTTACATCTCTGTACTCCCACATAGTAGACCATGGTTTGAGTCTTGGACTCGGTGTCTTAAAACTCACATTGGGCGCATGTGTGTGCATGCCCAAGATCCCAAGAGGAGAATAGAGAAGGCATTGTGGCGTGGCCATCCCCCCTGGGGTTGATTTCTTGCTTTCTGTCTCTCCCTCACTCCAGTGAGCACATGTGCCCTATAGCAAAAATCTCTCTCCAAAAAAAAAAAAATAGAAGAAATTAAAAGTTTTTAATTTCAAAATCTGTCTTGCTTATATGCATTACTTGGTTGTAGTTTAAAAAACATTTATTTTAATTAAGAATTATTTATTTTACTATTATTTTTATTTTTAATTTTAATTTTACCAGAGAGACAGAAAGAGAGAGAGGGAAAGTGAGAAAGCAAATCACTAGGTCCAGGACTTGAACTGTGGTCAGCCATGTAGGAGTCCAGCTCTTTAACCACCATAACACCTGCTGGCCCCTAGAAAACATTTCTATATTTTATAGTCAGTTTAATTTCTTACCAGTATGTATCTGTAGTACATTAAACATTTAAAGTGGAAAGTGTTAGTTTTATCGTATATCTGTTGATAGATATTTGTGTTGTTTCCAGTTTGAGACCTTTACAAATAAACTCTATTTGTGGAGACCAGCAGATGAAATAATGGTCATGTCACTGGACTCCCACGTAGTTGACTATGACTTGAGTCCCAGACCCAGTGGCTTAAAACCCATACTGGGTGCATGTTGCCTGAGTCCCCAAAATCCTGAGAGGAAAATGGGACTACGGTGTGGCCATCACCCTGCATGAGTCCCCAAAATCCTGAAAGGAAAATGGGACTACGGTGTGGCCATCACCCTGTGGTGATTTCTTGCTTTCTGTCTGTCTGTGTCTCTGGCAAGCCCATGTGCACTATAGCAAAATTCTCTCTCTTAAAAAATAAATAAAACCTCCATTTGTGTGTAAATTTTTATGTCAGGATATGTGAATTTCTCTTGAGTTCATACCTAAAAAGAAGTGGAATATAAGGTAGATATTTAACTTTTTAAGAAGCTATGGAACTATTTTCCAAACTGGTTGTACTATTTTACACCTCCATCTGCAGCATGTGAGCGTTCTAGTTGGTCTTCATCCTTGTCAACACGGTATGGTCAGTCTCTAGTGGGGAATGGTGACTTCGCAATCCTTTTCCTCCATTTCTTTTTCCTCTTGGGGTTTTGGGCATTCACACAGATGCCCAGCATGTTTTTCTTTCTTTTTTTTTTTTTAAAGCTGCTTGTTCTAGAACATAAACCATGCAGTCGGCCATATGAGATCCAGCTCTTTTAATTGCTAAGCCTCAGGTTGGTCCTTATGACCAGTTTTGGTTGTATTATGATTCCGCATTGCAGTTTTAATTTGCATTTGCCTTAGTCAAGTTTATATTCTTTAAAAAGATGAGCCATAGGTGGGACCAGCCGAGCGCGGTAGTTATGGTGCTGGACTCCCACATGGCTGCCCACTGTTCAAGTCCTGATCCTGGCAGCTTGAAGATCATACCGTGTGCATGTGTGCCCAAAATCCCAGGAGAATAGAGCAGAAAGGATTGCAGTGTGGCCATCCCCCTTGGGGCATGAATTCTCACTCTTCCTCTTACTGTCTCTCTTTCTCTCCAATGAGCGCACATGCTCTGTGGCAAAACCCTAGGGGAAAAAAGAAAGATAAGTCTTAGGAGTTCTGGAGAATTTTGAAAATATTTTGAATAAATTTATTCTGGCTTGTAATTATATTTAATTTTATTAAGAAACAGTTTTGGGAACAGCAGGTGGCATAGTGGTTAAAATGCTGGAAACCCTCATGGCTGACTGTGGTTTGTGTCCCAGACCTGGCAGCTTGCTTTCTCTCTCTTTCTCTTTATTTCTCTCTCTCTGGTGAGCACACATGGCCTATAACAAGCAAATAAATAAATAAACAAGCAAATAAGTAAAGTCTTTGTCTTTGGTATTTTCTTCATTAGCATTACTATTGTTTTCAACTATGATTAGAGACACTTTTCCTTCTCTTCTCAGATTGGGAGGGTGAGTGAATTTAAGGTGATATGCAGGTGAATAAAGAGTTTGAAATCAGGTGTCTTTGTCATACACCCTCTCACTTTAAAGATAACTGATGTGGGTGGCAGCAGGTGGTGTGGTTAAGGTAATGGACTCTCACGTGGCTGAACATGGTTTGAGTCCCAGACCTGGCTGGTATCTTACTGTCTCACTTTCCCCTCTCTTTCTCTCTACCTCTCTGGTGAGCACACATGCTATATAAGAAACTTGAAAAGTAAATAAATAGGGAAAACAGCAGGTGGCTTGGTGAGTAAGGCATTGGGCACTCCCATATGGCCAACCACGGTTTGAGTTCCAGACCTGGTGGCTTGCTTTCTCACTTTCCCTCTCTTTCTTTCTATGTCTCTCTGGTAAAATTAAAATACGTGAATGAATAAATTAAATAAATCTTTATTTAAAAAGTAAATAAGTAAATAAAATAATTTTTAAAAATACTGTATATATTGCTGTGTATAGTCTGTCGTTCAGTGTTTTCAAGATTTATCTATTTTGGGAGGCTGGCAGGTGGCATGGTGGTTAAAGATGTTGAACTCTCACATGGCTGACCGCAGTTCCAGTGTTGGACCTGGCGGCTTGCTCTCTTTCTGGTCAAAATTGAAAAATAATGATAAATTCTTTAAAAAGAAATAAAAGATTTATCTATTTTGGGTACCTGAGTAAGGCGCAGTGGTAAAGCATGATGCTCTGATTGGTAATCCCACCATAAGAAGATTCCTAGTTCAAGTCTGAGACCTCCCTCAGTGTACAAGGCACGGGTGTGCCCATGATCAGGGTGGCTGAGGCTGGGCGTGGTTTCCAGACACTGTTAGGGGTGCTTTCCCTGTCTTTCTTGCTTGCTCATGGGAAAAATAAACAAATTTAAAAAAAGAAACGATTTATCAACTTTTTACAAGTAGTTTAATAATATAATTGTGGTAGTTAACATTATGTGATTTGAAGCAGCTGACGACGTAATGGTTACGTCACTGCACTATCACATGGCCAACCACAGTTTGAGTCCTGGACTTGGCAGCTTGAAACTCACACTGGGTATGCGTGACTGCGAGCCCAAAATCCCAAGAGGAGAATGAAAGAGAAGGGACTGTGATGTGGCCAACCCCCATGAGGGGTGATTTTTCACTTCTGTCTCTTTTTCTGTCTCTCCAGTGAACGTATGCGAGAATGAAAGAGAAGGGACTGTGATGTGGCCAACCCCCATGAGGGGTTATTTTTCACTTTTGTCTCTTTTTCTGTCTCTCCAGTGAACGTATACCCTATAGCAAAAATCTCTTTAAAAAAAAAACGTGTTTATAGTGTAGTTCATTTGTTCTTTTATATTGAAGACATTTACATTTTGTCCCCAAATTTTAGGTATACCAAAATAAGCTTCTGTATTTCTTTGTGTACATGTCAGTGTTCTTGTAGGGTAGTCAAACTGAGGCCAGCAGATGGTGTGGTAGTTAAGGTGCCGTACTCCCATAGGGCCTACTCTGCAGGTGTGAATCCTGGAGCCAGCAACTTAAAAATCATGCCAGGCACATATGTGCTCAAAATCCCAAGAGGAAAATGGAGGAGAAGGAATTGAAGCATGGCCATTGCCCTTGGGGAGATTTCTCACTTCCCCCTTCTCTTGTCTCTCTCTAACCAGTGCACATGCGCTGTGGCAAAAACCTAGAAAGGAAAAGAGATGAATGCAAATGAGAGTGTTTAGATAAATGTCGGTTTTCACAATGATACTGGTGAAAGATACTTTTTTTTTCTCCTGAAGTTCATTTATTTCTTCTGTGAGAGAGAGACAGGCACCTCCAGCAGGGTCTTCCGGCCTTGGTTCCTCCCGGTCTCAGCCAGCCCAGAGCCGAGCACATGTATGCACACACCCGCTGTGCTCAGGGAGGAGCTGGCGAGCACACCTAGGACCTTTCACATGGCTTTGGCTGCTTTATCTGCATGCCACTGCCTAGCCCCAGTGATGAGTTGGCATTTTGAGTGTGAGGATGAAGTATGAAGCCTGTCTTCTGAATGCATGCTGTTAAACATCGTAGGCAGCTCGAAAGCACAGTGATATATGACGATATGCTGTGCAGATGCTAGCCAAAGAAAATCTAATTTAGCAATATTTAAAGCCAAAAATAGTAGCAGAGACGAAGAGTAAGACTACATGATATATTGGGTCTTTGGAAAACTCTTGACGTATTTTTTCCTGTGTTTTTCTATGCAAAAATGCATCATGACTTTTCCAATGACACCCAATATAAAGGAATAAGTAACTAAATTGACATAGCAACCAGTATTTTGTATGTACCTATTATTGTAACCTCTAAATAAAGTAGAAATATTAGGTTGTCAGGAAAGTCATGGCATATTTTTCTGTTTTTCTATGCAAAAATGTGTCATGACTTTCTCAACAACCCAATAATAGGAATCTTTAAAAATATTCTGCAATTGATTTATAGGGGACACTATTAAAAAATATTTAGAGTGTCAACACGTAGCATGGAGATTATGGCAGGTGGGTGCCCTACGGCCTCCTCGGCTGCTCGAGAGTCTCGGTCTAAGGCAGGGTGTGTGTGCACAGGCGTGCCCAAAATCCTGAGAGGAGAATGGAGGGGAAGGTATTACGGCATGGCCATCTCCCCTAGCGGGTGATTTCTCACTTCCCTTCTCTCTCTCTGTCTCTGGGAAGTGCACATACCCTGTAGCAAAAACTTAAAAAAAATAAAAATCACTGAAAATATTAAGAACAGATATTGAAAGTGTCACATAGCTATATTTGTGAAAAGCAGATAAACACTACTAAGAAGTAAGTTAATAACCTCAGCCAATATTTGTTAACTTACTACAAAGTGCTTATAGTTCTATAGGAAAGGAGTCTGAATTAGTATTCTGTTAGTTTATGTTTCTGTTTCAGCAGAAGTTCAAACTTATTAAAAGTTTACTTCACGCCAGGCGCGTGTGCGTGCATGCCCAAGATCCCGAGAGGGAGAATGGAGGAGAAGGGATCGCGGTGTGGCCATCCCCCCTGGGGGGTGATTTCTCACTTTCTGTCTCTCTGTCTCTGTCTGTCTGGCGAGTGCATGTGCCCTATTAACAAAAACCTCTCCAAAAAAAAAAAGAGTTTACTGCATGTTAGAGATTCTAAGGTTGATAGAACAAATTGGTTCTGTATTTTTCTTCACTATGACAAAAGATTAAGTATTCGTCAAGGAAGAAAATGCATGCATGAAAAGAAACCTGCATTTATAATCTGACATAAAAATTAAAGCTCACTGTTCAGAACTTACACTGTTTTAATAACCCATGTCCACCGTTTCAGACATTATCATCCCATTCAATCCATATGTCTAGTCATTTTCAAAATTCCTTTCGACTATTCATGTATGAATTTTTACCTGAGTACACTTTTTTTCATTCACTAAGACCATAAATTGACACCAACCATTTTGTTTGTCATTTTTGAAATTTTGCCTTTTTTATTTAAAAACAAATAGGGCTGTTACTCCATACATCTCATCTAAATTTGTTCACTCAAGTGACCCAAATATATTTTTGGTATTACTTTTGAAGTACTATTTTTGTATTCCAAAGCAGGCCCTTCTGAAACTGATGATGTTGATGAAAAACTTCCCCTTTCGAAGTCTTTGCAAGGTATAACCTCTTCACTTCTGTTTTCCCATGTGCTGTTCATTTTTACTGTTTCTTTATATTGGACAGACTGTTTTAATGTTAATAACTATATTACTAATTTTCTAATTGGAAAAGGAAAAAGAAATGTATTGGCCTTTTTTTTTTTAACATACAAATGAACTTCGCAAGCAACAATTTTTCAAAACCAATTTTCCCTTTTGTGAATCTAGTAATGAATCTCGAAATGGGTACATGACACACTTTCATATTTAAGGTAAAGTACACATTTATACCTTATATCAGAAGAGTCAGAAGTGACGTTATTATTGTACAGTTAGTTATGTAAATATGGATAAGCTCATGCTGAGTCTGTTGTTAAGATTGTGAAATAATTACCCGTAAATCTCTAAGCAGATTGATTTCCTTTGTGGGAATTTTTGTGTAGTGTTTCCGGACTTGAGGATGATAAGTTATTAGTGATGCTTTTACTTCTGTCTGTTCTGGCATTGAATTTTCCTTAGGTCTTCTTTATACTATGAATGTAATTATTTATTTCACACTTGAAAAGAACAGAAAGGACGCACAGAATCATCAAGTACATGAGCTACCACCGTATAGTAACTCTTATTTATCTATCCAACCCCTTTTAAACAACTGGCCTCTTCTCTATTATCTCTCATTGCTTTGACCTCACATCTGCATCATCTTTGCCTTTACAGTCAACTTAATTCTCCATAAATTCAAACGTTAAGGTTACAAGGAAATAGAAAGGGAAGAAGTATGTGTGTGTGTGTGTGTGTGTGTGTGTGTGTGTGTGGAGAAAGCATGTTTTTACAGTCAATTAGATATTGATTCATAGACATAAATTTATAGTTCTAACTGGAATTTTGAGTTCAGGTGACTTTTCACAAAGTCAAGTAAGTGGAAGGCCAACCAGTGGTGTGATATTTAAGGCAGCTAGATCCCATGTAGTTGACTGAGTGAGTTTTTCAAGTCCCAGATTTGGCCACTTATAAAAGACTCACAGGGCGTGTGTGTGTGTGTGTGTGTGTGTGTGTGTGTGTGTGTGTGTGTTTATATGTATGCCCAAAATCCCAAAGAGAGGGGAAAATGAAGGAAAAGGGATTATGTTATAATCATCTCCCAAGAGGGGTGTTTCTCACTTTCTCTAACTCTGTCTCTGTGGCGAGCACAGCGTGTCCTCTGGCAGAACTTAAAAATGAGTGGAAAAGAATCCCAAGGTAATTACAGGAGTGACATGGCTAGCCATTGAAAACCAAAAATATTTGGTCTTAGTCTATTCAGGAGTACTAGACACTAAATGACAGTTTTGAGACTGTTGTCAATATTCTTTAAAAATCAAGATAAAATACATTTGTCTTTTAGTGTAAACTTCTGAATCTAGTTATCAGTAGGTATGATGAACAAATTAGTCTGCTTCCCTCTCCCTGAGTTAGTTATTCTTAATGATAGGTAATGCATTTTCATTTGTATTTGAAGCCAGTGTTTTCTGACCTTTCCCATGTTAGTAGCACAGACATTTAAGGACGGAGGGTGCATATTGAGGCACTTAATCCTGAGCAGCTCTGTGATGTTTTAGATTCTTTTATTTCTCTTCGTCAAAAAATCATGTGCTGTAGCAAGATGAGCCTGTTTACCTTGGGGTTGCCTAACCTGATACATTGCTTTGTGTTCCAGCTTTTAGAAGCAGGCAGATTATATTACCTGAATTAATAAAATGCTTTTGAGGCTAAAGGTAGTATTTAAATTTTAACTTAGGAGTTTCCTCTAAGGATGCCTTTGATTAAATTATGGGGATTAAGTTTCCGTGGCCTCCACCGTATTGAAAATGGAAAGCAGGAAACATTTCACAGCAAATCCTGAATGTGTTTATTTAGACTTCATTAAGTCTTTGAGTAAAGAAAGAATGTACTCCGATGGGGTGTTTTGTGTAAGCCATTCACAGATAGATAAGCATGGTACTTGAAACATGGTGATTTCTCAGATTCCAATACCCTTCAGTAATGATATTGTGTAGTTACGGGAACTAATATTACATCCCCAAATCTACTTAGGGATACTTGTATTTTTAAATGATTTTTTTTTAGCTTTCAAAAGAAGTGTTGTATGTTTTTCTGAGTTAGAAAACATTGTTTGAATTAATTACTAAAGAGTTAATATTTTTGTAGATATTTCTTATGTCTTAAATTGTTTGCATCACTACCTAGTTTCTCTTTCTTCTTTCAGTGTAAGTATTTATTGGTTTACTTTATGTTTTTTCTTCTTTTTAGGAAGCCATCATTCTTCAGAGGGCAATGAAGGAACAGAAGTGGAAGTACCAGCAGAAGGTTAGAACTAAAAAGGGATTTGAAATGATACCATATTTGTTTTATGGTTGTTCTATTTATATTGTAGAGATGTTACCCTGAAAACCCCTTATCTGGAAATACAAAGCTGACTGTTTGGGTATGCATCCTTATTTTTAATAAAGTATATTAGGATGAAAACTAAGTGGTAAGTAAAGCTAATCATAGTACCAAACCATTTTTCTCTTTCTTCTACTGCATATATTTTAGAATTGAAATGACCAGATTCCTTTATATTTCATTTTAAGTGCAATTTTAATGCTCCCAGTCTTTTAGTGAGGAAATAGGTGTTCTAGATTAAATTAATAAAAAAGGAGGGATATTTTTTCTCTTTTTATTTTGACACTGAAAACTACCCCCATGGCCTCCTTTGGCAGTTTGCCAGCTGTACACACAGGCTTGATTTGAGGACCGAGTGGGTAACTCCGTACAGCTCCTTTAGTTATTAAAATCTGGAGTCACACTGTTACCCAGGATGGCTTCTTACTTCTAGGCAGCTAAGTAGCTCCGTAAGAATTTCCCCCAGGAAAATGATCTCTAAGGTAACGGAATCTTGTTTAGAATTACTATTTCTCTCATAAACTGGTCATGTTGCGCCTTGTTTTTCTAGAATAAAAAGGGAGTCTATTCTGTAATTGTATTCTTTGCAATTGCCTTTTTACATTATATTTAAAAGTCATTAATGTGATCTTTTACCTTTGCTGAATAAAGGGAGCTTGTCAGGTCCCTGGGTTAAAGAGTGATCGTTCCAGTTAAGGTTTCTAACTAGAATGGATTTCTCTCAGAACATTGAGATGCTCATTTAAATAATATATTACATTTCTTCATCAAGCCTTTTTATAGAAGATTGCATAGGTGAATTTTTTTTAATGTTAGGTGGATTTTTTTTTTTTTTTATGTTTTACTGTGTGGAGGTACAGATTCTCCTTCGTGAAAAACACCTTCAGTTGTGTATAGGCAGTGTTTATGACAGAAGACAGCCTGTGTACAAGGCACACAGGTACAAGGGCTCGTTAGGCAATACGAATTGCTGGCAGTTTTACACCTCTGTCATAAGATAGGCTTTGAAAGACTGTGTTTTTATTGTCATGGCAATGCTAAGAGAGTTGAATGGAACTTGGGTGCTGGTCTTAATTCCTTTACTAACAAACATAATCGTCAACAAATCAATTAATCTCTCAATCTTTGCAGAATGGAAGAGAGCTAATGAAAATACTCTCCACCTGAGCTTCTAGCACTAACATTCTGATGTACATTGTTTTGTGTAGTAACATACATTAATGAAATACTTAATTTTAAAAATTGTGTACCATACAGAGTTAGAGGATATAGTCCAATGTGCATTGGAAATAGTCGTTTGCTTGATATGAACGTCTCCATTGCAAAAAATCGATCGTGGTTTTATTTAACCATATAAAACCACTTCTAAGATTTGCGAAAGGACAGGAGAAATAGGAACTGAAGTAGAAAGCATTTGTCTTTATCCTAGTATTTCCTAGTTACAGTAAGAAAATAATTCTGACTTTGTTATAATTTGATTGCTCCAAAAATATAGGGGTTTTGAATCCATTAATGTAGTTAACTTGGTATTAATAGTTTTTCAGGGTTTTTCTGCTTTTGTTTTATCCTTGTTTATAATTAAAAGGGTGAGATATTTAATTTAGTAATTATGAAGTGAATTAAAATGCCAGTTAAATTTTTATATTAGGCTTTTTTTGGAGTATCAAACCAATAAAATGTTGGAACATACTGGAAAATGCTTAATAATGAATGTCATCTTAGAATTTTATTTTTTTCAAGATTCTACTCAACATGTCCCTTCAGAAACAAGTGAGGACCCTGAAGTTGAGGTGACTATTGAAGGTTAGTTATCTAAAAGCATTGATTCCAAGAATTTACTTCTAGTCATAAAATACAAATATCACATTCATATTGCTAAGTATGCATTTCATTCATTCTTAAGGAAATTGTGAAAAGGGTTGAAATATGTGTTTGCGTGACCAAAGCAGCCCACATCCCAGCAGTGCACCCTAGTGCTTTGGGAGTTTTGACAACAGAATCAAGCTGTGAAAATGAGCATTGGCCCACAGGAAGACCAGGCTACACTTTGTATCCTTATGAATAAAGAAGAAAAAGAAAATTATAACCAGACTTGATACCCAAAAAACAAATGTTATAACCTGTTAGGTTATAACAGAGACTTAAGTGAAGCTAAAACTCTTCATTTCTAATTAATTAAAGTGAAGGAAATAATGTTGATCGTTTAGTCAATAATTTTAAAAGCACATTTCCACTCTAAAATACTACATAGAGGCTAACATATAATTTGTCTTACAAAACTATCCTGAAGCAGTGAAAGTTACAAATACATTCTAAAAGAATCTCTATAGTCCGTGTTGCTTCAAACCTAGTTTTTTCCTCAAAGATAAGTGTGAACACAGATGAACCATTTTGTTTTGAATTATTTGTAAATTTGACTTACACAGTTAACTAACAGCATCACTTTCATATTTCAAAATTATTGAATATGTTGGGGGTTTTTTCATTTAAAATTAGTATCTCATGATACAAGTCTATAAATTTTTCCCCCTCGCAGAGTAATTCTTTCCTATGGCAAGATAGTGAAACACTTGAATAAACGGTGTTATAGAAAGTTGTCTTCCTTTGCTCTGCTCCCAGGTCCCTGTACTAAGGGATAGATGTCAGTTTACTGTGTATACTTCTAGAAATACTTGATTATACATATGTATATACATTTTTTATTTTTGTAAAAATATACTTTCAGCAAACATTTTAATGCAAACTTTTAAAAAGTCACATGCAGTCAAGTATGCCTGTAATCCCAGCCAGTGGGGAGGCTGAGGCAGGAAAATCGCAAATTTGAGGCCAGTTACCCTGACCCTGAAAAAAACTTTTTTGTTGTTTAATAACATGTTCCGTAAATGTTTCCCCTTGTAACTCCACATCATGGTATTTCATTTTCTTTCTTTTCTTTTCTTTTTTTTTCCCCCCTAACTGCTATACATAACCTTTCTTGGTTGGTTGGTGGTGCTCTCTCTCTTTTCTTTTATAATAACCCGGTCTCTGTTGGTGTCACTCGGTTATTTGTAGTTTGGCTACTTCGGACTATTCCACATTTGCCTTCATTGCTTCTAAGATATAAGTTGATTGGTAGCTTCCACCTAATATGAAAGTCTTTCCATACTTCATGTGTTAACCTCAATTTATTTAATATATGGGTTTCTTTTCTCATTAATAGAATTTACTAACCTAAAAACCATATTGAGTTGTTTATAATGTAGCATATTTTAATTGCTTTTTAGTTAGAGACCTCATTAGCTTTCAGAGTAGAAAAATTTAAGAGCATGTAAGTATTATACATCATTTAGATTGTGAAGACTTTACCCGGCATGGTTTACACCTCAGTCCAGCCCAGTTGAGATTGTTATACACATCCTCGTCTCAATCATTAATTAGATTGCTGAGTTGTTTTTAGTATACATTAAGGCAGGTAAAAATTAAGTCTTGTTATTTAACAAGGAAAGTCAGATGAGAACTCACACAGTAAAAGCTATTCAGATATTCAGTTAGCAGGTTAAGTTTTGTCATATATACTTTAAAAACACTAACAATTTTTTTCTTAAATTATCTGAAAAAATCTACTGTAATATTTCTGATGGAAAAAAATTCCTGTCTTTCATGAACAAGGCAAGTTTGAAAAGTATGTATCCAGAGAATGATCTTAGCTTTATTTAGCAAAGTACTTGTGCTTAAAAGGAATGCTGGGTGAATGTAAATTCAGATACTGCTGTTTGCCTGGGGGTGACTTTATTTTCTCCTGCTGTGTGTTTCTACATTTTCCAAATAGGTGGTAGGAATAAGCAGAAAAAGCTTTGTTGTCAAGTAAATCTGTCAGATTTTCCAGTCTTTTAACCCGGGTATTATCATTTGAAATGATTGGAGTTCTGAGGAGGCTAGTTTGGCATTGCTGTAGAGATGTTCATCGCTACAAATGTGTTAGTTACCTGTGGCTGGTGATGTGCTCGGAGCTGTGTTCTTCCAGGGGTGGTCATTTGTACTCACTGTCAGTACTCCACAGTGAAAGCGTACATGAGTTTGGGAAGTTGGCCTTGGAATGAAATGGCCGTGTGTGCCTCAGTGTCATAAATATCATGACAACAATTTTGAGCTAAATCAGACTATTGCCAGATTATCTTTGATGTAGGCAGAGAAAATCTTAATTTCAGAATTGCTTGAGGCCTAGCTCTCCTGGGAATGCTGATGAAAGGAGGTGTTCTGGTTCACTGTGCAGCTTTTTCCCAGGGCGTTGCTTCCCTAACCTATATCATCACATGTTTTCATCTTGTTGTGGCCTAACCCTCTGTTTATGACTTAACCTATGTTTTTTCTTTTATTTTAATTTTTATTTATTCATTTATTTTCATTTGACCAGAGAGAGACAGAAAGAAAGAGGGAAAGTGAGAAAGCAAGCCACTAGGTCCGGGACTTGAACTGTGGTCAGCCATGTGGGAATGTTCAGTGCCCTAACCATCACTCCACCTGCTGACCCTTTTTTTCTTTAAATTCATTTTCTGTTTAATTTTGTGTCTTCCTATGTTGACCATCTTGAAATTTCTACTTTCATTTCTTACATATCTTGAAAACTACATAAATATTTCAACATACATGTTCATGTTCCCACACATGACACACATGCTACAATTGTTGAGTTTATAGGATCTGTGTAACTGAGTAGATGAACACTTGAAAACTTTGTGCTGTTGTAAGAGGAATTGTGTACTACAATTGGGTAACACTGTTTTAGACCTTTAGGTTATAGCAGGGTTTACAGTTGGGTTATCTGTCATCTGTTGATACCATTTCTTACGGACTTCATGCTTAGGACATTGTAAACGTTTGGCCGCTACATGTAATTAAAGGCTACACTATTCATGTGTTCATTTCATCTTTCCACAAATACTCAGCACCTTCTGTGTGCCAGGCATTGTACTAGATAGTAAAGATTAGGTAGGAACAGGACAGGCAGCTCCATCGAATGTTTTAAAGAAGGATGGCTGCCGTGTGAACAAAGATGGAGAGCTGCCAGTAATGAGAACAAGGAGGTCACTGTAGGAGGTTGTCATAGTCATCCAGGGCACAGATCAGGTTGGTGGAGATGCAGATAACTAGTGTAAACTCAGGAGATACTTGGAAGGTAAAGCTTACAGGTTTTGCTGCTTGTAGTTTTATTTTAAATTTGTGGTAGAACATTGTGCATGAGTGAGAGAGAGGGGACGCACCCTCGACAGGGTTGTCAGGCTGTGAGTCCCTTCCCCTACCCTGCCAGCTCATCAGGAGTTTGGGCACATGTGAGCACCCTGGCTTGTTTCCCGTCAACCAGATCAGGGACTGAACCTGCAGTACACCACTGGCCTCTAGGACATCACCGATCATACCACACCAGGCTGGGCCTATAGTTGTTTAATTATTGTTTTTCTTACATGTTACTATAGAGTCTACGTGATTGAGTAGGCTAACATTGGAAAACTTTGTGTTTTTAATTATTATAGCTACCAAACAGTTTCTTCCATTCAATTTCCAGTTGTTTATGTAATGATAAGAGTTTGAGAGGAGTTATGAATCAGATTCACAGGATCAAATGAGATCCATTTATTCGAAATGTGTTGGATGATTAATGGCTCTAGTTTCAGACAGATATAGTGCCTCATTTACATTTTTTAAAAATTTAAATAGGTGTCAGATGATATGACACTAATAATTTGGTTATGTTGGTAATAAGAATATGTGGGCCAGCCTGTGGCCCGATACTTCCGGCAGCTGAATCCCACACAAGAACAGTGTGATTTGAGAGATGCACCAGGTGGGTGTGCACATGTGCCCAAAATCAGAAAAAAGGGAGAAGTGGAGGAGAAGGGATTGTGGCATGGCTTTGCTCCATGGAGGTGGGGTGCCTTCTCACTTTTTCTCTCTCTTTTTTTGTTTCTGTTTCTCTTTCTCTTTCCAGTGAGCACACACAGTCTCTGGCAAATTAGGAAGAAAATGATAGTATAAGAAAATATTGTACTATTTTCTGTCTCATTCACTGGCAAGAATGCAGTAATGAACAACTTTAGCTCTGAAGTCTATATGATATTTATGGGCATAATTTTATATAACTGTGTTAGAAAAAGGAAAACAAGTTTTTTTCTAAATTCAGATTTATTTTATTTATTTATTTATTTTTTTTGTTTGGAGAGGTTTTTGCTATAGGGCGTGTGCACTCGCTAGAGAGACAGAAAGCGAGAAATCACCCCCCTGGGGGAATGGCCACGCTGCAATCTCTTCTCCATTCTCCTCTCGGGATCTTGGGCATGCACGCACACGCGCCTGGCATGAGTTTTAAGCCACCGGGTCCGAGACGCGAACCGCGGTCGACTACATGGGAGTCCAGCGACATAGCCATTATGCTAACTGCTGGTCCCCCCTAAATTCAGATTTTGAGTTAGGGGCAGTGTTAATAACTTCTCTCAAAGGCGTGGGAGGATGCTTTTGTCCATACTGGTATAAAGTATGCTGAAATGTGTGGTCGGTTGTAATGTGGAGACGCCATGGTCTCTGGAATAGCAGTGCTCAGTGCTGGGCCTGATTCACAGGATATACCTCTGGACATCTGTTCGATCTTTCCACTACAGAGAAATAAGTAATTTTGATTTTTTGTGAAAAGGATTTTAGGTCAAACATACTAGATTTTCTAATGCCTTCTAAAAGCTAGTTACAGTTTTTTCTAGTAAGGAGTTATTAGAGGAAAATTGAGGATATGGTTATGTGCATAGCTATTCTGATGGCTTAATTCCATATGGAAT